TAATAGTGTTGATTGATGAAAAAAAGAAGATGAACAAAAGATTCTAACCCAAGGGGGAAACAGCGGACTTCATAACTTCAAGACTTCAACAGCCTTCAACGGACTTCAACCATAATGACTTCATATTTTCACAAGACTTCACAAGGCTTCTAAAGACTTCATAAAACTTCAAGGGACTTCACAAGACTTCATAGGATTTCATGGGACTTCAGAGGACTTCAAAAGACTTCCAAAGACTTCGTGAGACTTTACGGACTTCATGAGACTTCACGGACTTCATGAAACTTCACGGATTTTGTGAGACTTCACCGACTTTGTAGGACTTCTTGAGACTTTATAAGACTTCATTAGACTTCACAAGACTTCATAAAACTTCACAAGACTTCGCTAGACTTCATAAAACTTCATAGGACTTCACAAGACTTCAAGAGGTAGATTCCATGCGTATCAAAAAACCTTATAGAAATTACATGAAACTTCTATAACATGCAAAAAACAAAACTTATCATATAGAGATTACAAAGGTGTTTCTAGTTTCTGAGAATTGTTTCTCGCAGTATATCCATATGTAGAATAAAGATATGGCAATGACACAAAGCGTTGATGAAATTAAAACAGAGAAGATAAACTTTACTGGTACGCATATATTTGATTCGATTAATCCAGCATTGAAAAACTCCTATTTTCAGGTGCAAATAAATAACAAGACTAAATTTATACACAAGCAAACGGCTTGTTGGTTATTGACCGATAAAGCTAGCCGTTTATCGGCTGATAGATTATCATGAGTGATAGAAACAAACAAAAAGGAATAAAATTCTTCATAAGATTGACATCGAATAGGTGGACACATTTCTTATAAAAATAAATCACTTCATTCAAAAAGCATTCCGTTATTAACTATCATGTTTTCTAAGATCCAACAAACTTGAGTTTTTTTCCAGCACATTGAAAAAAAAACAATAAAAGGTTCACCTTTCTGCTAAAATAAGACCGCCGAAAACAAGACAATTTCATTGGTTTCTTATGAATTTTCATGCACTAAATGTATTTCAAAACTTCCAAAAGAATTCATGAGACTTCATTAGACTTCAAGAGACTTTATGAGACTTCATAAGACTTCATGAGACTTTATTAGACTTCATGAGACTTCATAAGACTTTATGAAACTTCAGAGACTTCAAGAGACTTTATGAGAATTCATGAGACTTCATAAGACTTCAAGAGACTTCAGAAGACTTTGAAAGACTTTCAAGACTTCATGAGACTTCACGGCTGAAGTCTCTGCTGTTTCCCCCTTGACTGACCTAAATAAATTATATCAAAGTTCATGGACAATATTCAATCACCATTATTCAACAAATGAAGAACCAATGCATGACTGGTGCGATCTCAAATGGTGTAAGTACCTCCAAGCAAAGTCAATTGGTCAAAACTTTTCTTACTCCAAAATATCTATTCCACGAGCATGTTTAGATATGATAAAACCGATGTTTGAAGAACTATGTTCTCATACTAGTTTAGCACGTGTTGTGGGTGGTGGGTCTCAAAATGCTAATGAGGCCTACCACTCATTATTATGGACTATGGTCCCAAAACATCGTTATTGTTCATCAGCAACTCTTCGTATTGGATTGGGATTATCTTCTATCATTTATAATGAAGGATATGAAGCATTGAATAGACTATTTACAAGCATATTCTTGTCTATGGGCTATTATTCTACTCAATGCCTTCGTAAACTTGATGTTTTGAGAAACTCTCGTACTTCGCAAACTAAAAACAAGCATTTAAAACGTGCAAAAAAAACAACAGTTGCTGCAAGTACTGCTTCAACTGAACGTGATGGTGAAATTGCATATACCTCAAATGAAGAAAACTTTGATTCCATTGTAAACGATATTACATTAGAACTCAATGATATTGCATTAGAACTATCGGATGGTGACAGTACTGATATATATGAAGCAGGTGGTGATGATTGATTATCGAAATATGATGACCGTTATCTCAAATTTTAAAAATACTAGTTACTTTATTATCATATCATTCATTAATCACATGTCATTTCCTAATTTCTGGTTTTTAAGGTCATTTAGATGAACCTGCTAATAAATTTTTGTCATAATATCTTCAGCCATAATGAGTTCAAAGCGTCTTTTATTATTTAAGATGATAGAAAAACACTATTACTGGATGAAAAGTCATAAAATACACTTCTAAAAAGTATTTTGCGTTTTTCTCAAAATGAGATTTTTTGTTTTTACGTTTTCGTGCGTCCCAGATTTCTCCGCCATTTTGAAAGCTAGAAAGCTTGAGTTTGTTTTAGATCATAGCTAAGATCTGACACTACAACTTAACAGCGTCGGATTTCTCGATTTCATGATGGATGTCAGATGAAGAGAACATGTTTGAGAACTTACACCCTACTAATTTCATATCGTGACGTAGAAGTTCTTTAAAAACCAAACTACAGAAAAATTAAAAAATCCGACTCTGTTAAGTTGTAGCTTCAAGTCTTGGCTACATTTTAAAACCAACTCGGGTTTCCTAACATTTAAAATGGCGGAGAAATCTGGGACGCACGAAGACCTATGTTTTGAACCTTAATCTTAAGCTATCTCTCGAAAAGCTCAAGATTTCAAGCTGAAATTTTTACCACGAGGTGACCAGCTCAAGATATATCTACTCTGGAAGTTTCGTTAAGATTAGATGTTCTAAGGCAAAAATAAAATTTTTGGTGGGGGCTGGGCCTTAAACTAGCTTTCAAGTAAGAAAAACAATGGAGTAATGATAAAACGAAGCATTTCTAAGTAATAGTGATAGTGACTATGTTGTTAATCTTTTACGCATGTACGTTTCTACATTGTTCCTATACGCTCAAAGATTCTCCAATAACGAATATTTTCTTCGCAGTTTCGATTTGCTGTTAAAATACAAACACAAATTATCTGATGACGATCTCATTTTATACTACAATCAAGATTCAACTAATAATTGTTAAAGTCGCCTATTAGCACCGAAGTTTGGACTTCATTGTTACTGCTAAATCATTAATAATAGTTATCGATACTTCAATCACAATGATTTAGTACCAAGTTTGGTTCTTTTGTCTAAAGAAAGTTTCGAAACACTAAAATTATAAGTTATATTTCGTTAAGAACCTTTCAATATACTGTTGACCGTTTTGAATATATTATATAGGAGAAGGTGTTTTTATTTTTCACAGACAAATAATACAACAACAAAGAACGATATAGAATACAACTGATATTATTAACTTTGTTATTTCTGTTTACTGAGCTATTCTATTTGTTGGCACTATTGATGTTGATTGTGCTATTCGACGATGAAGCACTTTTACTTGAATAAATCGTTTAAATTCATTTCGAAACAAAGATGATGAGAAAATATTCGTGAAAAATGTTAATGCAAATCCAATATAAACGAGAAAATACGACATATTATTCAATGATGCTTCTATTTCTAGACGGAGTAGTGATTTTTGGACATTTATTGTAAGCGTTTGATAAAGAAGAAAGCATGGATTCATTATGTTGAAAATAATATAAAGAACAATTTGATTCAATAACATCTTAAGTAATTGAGAAGATTTTCTCAACACGTTATTCATTTGATGCGATTGATTGGTAGTAATACTTGTTATCATTGGGTTAGTACGTTGTTTTATTTGTCGAACATTCATAAATGTCAGAAGTCCAAAGACAATCATGAAAACCAATGGAAGAATACCATTATCAATCAAAATATAAATACTAAAAAAGATGGCATAGATCCCTTTTCGAGGTAAACAATTATTTGGATAATTTTGATAGAATACAATAACGTGGATATATATTAAACACCAGAAGAAAATATTGCCGATAATAAGTCGAATAGCAATTTTAGGTGTACTCCATTGACGGCGAAGAGCATCACGAGAACTAGCAAAATATCGATCAACTGATGCTAAAATTGTGTAATACCGTGCCGCAGCTACAAATACATAAAAGAAATAATTACGAAACTTGCAATACCTAAGTTCAATGTAAACTGTCTTGATATTAAAACCAAATAGTAAAATGCGTGTTAGAAGAGCAAAATTGTAAATAATAAATTGCGAAATATTGGACGCGATAAAATACATTGCACAAGAACTTTTATAGAAAGCTGCTTGACAGAAAATAATACAATTTAAAATTGATCCAATATTACCAATTAACCAAATAAGAATCATAACATATCGTGTGATACTTTCATTAATTAGGGAGACCATATTTATCCAATAAGTATCATCTTTATCGATAAACGAATCAGCAGTATTTAACGCTGTGTTGTTCATCGCGGAAAATGAATAATGGAAAGATTGAGTTATCTCGTAGATGATTTTATGAGAAAGAAATAAACGCAAAAGATTTTTGCTCGAAGTAAGGTCTTATCCGGATAACCATCACATTAAAACCCATCAAATTTCTAATTCGACTAATGTTTCTCCAAGACATTACGAAGTGATGGTGACAGTAAAAGAAAAACGTCAAATAAATTAATATTTTCAATTATTTATTTAGACTTGTCATTGATGATAGCAAGAATATAAGTGCTATTATTTTCTTTTCAAAATCTAGTGCAAAGAGCACATACACTTGTTGAACTGTCTTTAATTCATTATTTCTATTAGTAAAACAACGAGATTTTCTACGTTATCAATGAATGAATAAACCGATAATTAATACTGTCACTCATCCATAGTGAGCTGCAAGTTCACATTCTTTATGGATTGAAAATGAAGTCTAATCCGCAAAATATGTTACTGACATTCTGATTTAAGTATCGATTTTATTCATTCTCGATGACGTTTCGAATTTCACCGAAATTTCAATTGAAAAATACAAAATGCGTTATTGTTGTTCGCCTTTGATTAATTATAGCATCGACGATCTTCTCTAATATTGAATGATATCTAAAAATTATGAGTGATAGTTCACTGTCAACAGATTATTATGTTTATAATGAATGGGAAAAAAGGGGATCTTTTGTAAAGATCAGCTGAATGTCATAAAACAGGCTGTCAATTAATCTTTATAGTATTATTTAGAGGTAAGAAGTTAATGTTATTCGATTGTTATTAATAACAATAACTTTTTTTCTGATGAACCTTCAAATCCAATTGCTGTCTGTCTTATCTATATTAGCTATATTGGTCTATTTTTAAGGCATGAATTTACTACTGCTATGATATCAATCCATCTAGAACTTTGAGAATTTGCATAGATCATATCGATGAAGATATTTCACATGTATTTCACTGCTCAAAATAATAGAAATTGATCGACTTTTCAAGAAATTCTCCTGATTTCAATCCATTAAACCCTTCTTGTTACAATAAATAATAGAAGTTCAGGAAATTGTCTGAATTCCTGAAGAACGTTCATTTTGAAACAATTAATAGACATTTTTCTTAATGAATAGTTCTTTTTTAAAACTCCTATATATATATATATATATATTTCACGATTGATTCGTTTCTTGATGTAGCACTTCTTGCAGTTATAATTTGAAACAGTTAACCTATTCCGTTAGAATAGTCAAGATCACTTCTTTTGAATTAACGTAAATCTTCTAGGTCAATCTCGAAATACATTTGGTTTTGTCCTTTTTTGTGTTTTCTCTTCGATCAAATTTGTTCATCGAATGAATCATATAGATGAACGGAAGTGTTTAGTCCAATCTACGACAGAACGAGAAAAAAAAATTTTTGATTTCTCTGTCGTTCTTACATTTCTATCATAAGATTTACTCGTATTGTTGGTGCACTTCTAATTTTCTAACTATTTGATTCAAATGATGTCAGTCGAAGAAGAAATGGAATATCAGTCTTATCCATCTGCATCAGTCGATGCTCCAATGTCTTCTGCTCGTCATCGTTCAGTAGCTCGAAGACATGGTTGTAGTTTGAATTCTATCCATTTTCAAAGTCTCAATCTTACTTCTAAACATTTAACTTCCACACCAAAACCAATCCGTCCTAGTGGTCGTAGTTCAAATCAATCATCAACCAACAATCAATCGTCAATTCGCACGAAAGAAAAAAAAGGAAATCTTGCTATTTCTCTTGTTTCATCTATTCCATCATCAAATTCACCTGGTCGTTTTCAGTCACCTGTTTCACCGTTGCCTTTGACTGCCCATCGGATGATGAACAACATTAAAGGCATAACATGCGTGTTACAACTCGATCTGGTAAAATGAATAAGGATGCAGTTTTAGTGTACTTTACCCTACGATCGGATGGTCGATACGACTGCAATACTTGTCATCAGGTAATTTCCATCATCTCCTGAAAACTAATGTAAGAAAAAACTTTAAGCAGTGGTTAGCAAGCATAGAAATTAAATAGAGAACAGCTTTGTCGTTGTTCAATACAATAGTTTTATCTAAAGGAGAAACGATGGCTTCAAATAAAAAGCGCGTTTCGTCATTTCGAATAACATCGTTTTGATAAAATGATTTCATATGAAAAATCAAACTAAAAGCGTTCAGAAGAGTGGATATCTATTCAACTCAACAAATGTTGAATATTTATTGCTAACAGTTTCACTTGCTGTTCTTTGTTTCTTTTGTTTCGGTTATCATTTCGATTGAATATTCCATAATTTTTTTTCATTTTGATAGCTGTACATGACATATAATGGATCAGCAACTGATCTACGTCGACATTTCTTCATAAAACATGATATTGCTGCTGTTATGTATGGCTCACAATTATCTCAAACTAAAAAGAAATCTACTGTATCAAACGATGGTGTGGGTGTGAGTGTGGGTCTGGGTGGTGGGTGATGGGTGTTGACCTTATTCACTTGCACCCACATCCCTAAATAGAACAAACGTCGAAAGAGAAAAACGTTTTCTGTTATCTGTCCATCTGAAGCAGTATACTCAATGATTCATAATTGTCATGCAAGCATCTCATAAAGAAGCATGCTACACTAGCGTCCTCTTTTGCTATACTTCGAAATGAAATCTGTTGTAGCCAGTTGCTAAGCAGTGGCGTTGCGCCGCACAGCATACTTTACGCTCCGTCCAATGTTCGTTCTGTGCATGAGAATGACTAATCAGATGATCGTTCTGTTTTATTCGACATCTAGCCTAAATTTCGTCATTCTGTATTATATAACGTCACGTACGAACAGCTATTGTAGAAATACTTCGAACATACCAAAAGTAGTGGCGCCGATTCTGTAATTTTTTACAGAAGCCTTTAGGAAATTTTTTCTCTATATATTCTGATAGCCCAAGTCAAGATCTATAATTCTACGATATTTCTTAAATCTTCAAACAATATATAATATTGAAAATGAAGCAAAAACAATGAGTGATTGACAAAAAAAATTTTTTTTTTGAACCAAGTTTATCATGTTTTTATTACATCAAATGTTCAAAATAATCACCCCGGTTGTTTATACACAAATGCATTCGTTGGATCCACTTATCAAAAGTTTTTTTATACTTTTCTTTTCTCAACAAATTCATAAACTTGATCACAGCTTCATGCAACGATTCTGAATCATCTTGATCGTCTAGGTTTTGTTTGATTCAATCAAACAACTAAAAATCACATGGGACCAGATCTGGAGAATTAGGTGGATGTTGCATTATTGTTACGCCTTCCGATTAAAGATAATTGACTACATCTTCATGCATATGTGGTCTTCCATTATCATGATGAAGTTTAATTGATTGAATGCCTAAGGAAGGTCGTTGCTTCCTAATTTCATCAATAACTGGTCACAAACAATTATTAATGTAACATTGATGATCGATTGTTTGTCCACGTTTAACAGAATGAATCAAAACTGGACCAGTTGACTTGAAAAAAATACACAGGAGAATTTTTGAGCAAAATGGCTACGTCGAACCACCGTCGGAGGAGGATCTCAACGTGCTATCCAAGCAGCATTCGACGATTTTCGACCGATTTGCTTGTGATAAAACCATGATTCATCATCTGTTACTACATCGCATAATCTCCGAACACCTTGTTCAAATTTTAACAAGTTTTCTTGACATATTCGTACTCGTTCAGCCTTTTGAAAGTTCGTCAGATGTTTGGGAACATAAAGTACAGTAACTTTTTTCAACTGCAAATGATCAGAAATAATTCGTTGGACGGTGCCATGGCTTAGACCACTTTGTGCTTCGAGTTCGTCAACTGTAACATAAGGATTATCATTAATAAGATCGCGAACTTGTCTAATATTTTCAGATATTGTCTCCGTTATAGGTCTTCCAGGTCTTTCTTCATCTTCAACTTCTTCTCGGCCGTCATGAAACCATTTTGACCATCTTTGAGCAGTCCTGAGAGGAGGAGCTTCATCACCAAAGACAGTATGTAATTCATTATGAATAGCTATTGGTTCAATATGAAGTGCAGTACGCACTGTAATATAGAAACGAAAATATTCCTTATCCATTTGAAAAGAAGTGAATAGTTTTGATTGTATTATGGTCTATGTTAGAAATAATATGCTATGTTGTTCTCAACGTAATATTTCTGTCCTTTTCTTTTTTTCCTTTTAACTTTCTCCTCTCTTCTCTTTCTTTTCTCAATCTTTTTAACTTCTTTGATATTTATCTTCATTTATACATGTGAAACACACGTGCTCTGTTTGTTTTTTCTGTGCGTGTAGTTTGTTTTTTCTGTGCGTGTAGTTAGTTTTTGTATATTTTCTAGGCGAAAATTTATAAAAGCTGCAGAAAACTTAAGAGTATCAAAACTTTTGCTTATTTAATATTGTTTGAAGATTTATGAAATATCATAGAATTATAGAGCTTGACTTGGGCTATCAGAATATAGGGAGAAAACATTTCTTGAAGGTTTCTGTAAAATATTGCAAGATCGGCGCCACTACTTTTGATATGCCCTAAGTAAATTGTAGAGCTTTTCAAACTGCATCTAGTGGTATATTTTATTGCTTTGATGCAAACTATTAAGTGATTGAATACTGGAATGCAAAGCGTGGTCATTTAATCGGCCTCGCATAACCTACTGCGCGAAAGTTTTGACACATAATGTTTGTTCAGCTTTCTAACACAAAGATGTCGCAGTAGAGAATGAAAAGTAGTCAGTTAGAATCAGAATTTGATGCTCTTTCTAAATGTACGTTCACAATTATTTTTTGACTTAAGCCTGCTAACTAGAAGCAAATACTTGAATGGACTCAAAATGGACGTCTGTACAAAATTTTTTCATGTTATCTATTTTTGTATTTTGATTAAAATTGTCCCAATTCAAGCGATAGAAAATCTTCTTATATACCACTTTGTAGAGTGAACTTCGCTCTACAAAATGTAGAATTTACTTCTCTTCTTTACATGTAACAGCAATGACTCAAAATCTATTGCATTTTGAAAAAATAAAGTTGAGAAAAAAAAAAGAATTTTTGCCAAAATGTCATCTTACGTAGAGAGCAGCTCTTTGAAAAATCTCTGTAGCCTTTGTTTATTTTTAATTCTAGTTTATTATAACTCATGATTCCGTAGAAAATGATAGTATAGAGTCAAAAATTGTTCCAAAATGTTATCCAGAGAAATTCTGAATAAGAAGAAAAAGTCTATTTTATTCAGCGTAAACGCCAGTTTTGGTTTATTCAGTCATTTGCTCACAGTTAAATGACATTAAGTTAAAAACAAAATTGATTATATATTTAGAAAGAGTGTAAAATTCTAACTCCAACTGGCTACTTTTGCTATCCTTCAATGACACTTAAGTATTCAAAAATGAGTAAACATTTGTGCCAAGAAGTTTCAACTTAGTGTTTGTACAGACGACTATTTTGAACCCATTCAAGTACTTGCTTCTAGTTAACAGGCTTAGGTCAAAAAATAATTTTGAACATACATTTAGAAAGAGCATCAAATTCTGATTTTGACTGACTACCTTTCATTCTCTGCAGTGACAGCTAGATAGTAGAAAACTGAACAAACATTTTGTGCCAAGACTTTCGCGCAGTAGGTTATTAGTGAAGTTGCACACAAAAACAGTTCTTATCGAAATTTTATTATTATGATATTAGTTGAAGAGTGATCAAATAGCATAGCAAAATAGAGCATCGTTTTTTCCATCACTATAAAAAAAAGGAAATCTATTCAAGCATTCCATTAAAGAAAAAAGATACTGATGTTACTACTTTTGGTATGTCCTAACTATAAGGTTTCTACTTCCCATTATATTTGAAATAACAGACATATTTGAAACAATATCTGTTTTTCATTTTATTTTCGCACGAAAAAATGACAATAATTGAGATTGTTTCTAAAGATGTATTGTTCAATTCTCCATACGATTCAGAGAAAAAGATTTTCTTGACTTACTGTAATCAATTTTAAGGGAAGAGAGTAAAAGTGCTAAACAATACTGAGTTATATTGACTAGACATGTACCGAGATCGAATAGCTCGGACTTGGCTATGCTCGAGATCGATCTATCTCGATTTCTTAGATTTTATTATTGTTGTATAAGAATAAGTTTTAAGTACAAACCACGCACTGCTGTCGACGCTTCACTGGAATATTTTTCTAGACCAAGTTAATCTTTGAATGTAAAAACACAATACCGTCCTTGTCCTGTTCACTCATCGTTAATGGAAAAATACTGACTGACTGTCTTCACAAATGTATTAAATAGAATGTTTACAACAAAAAAAAATCACCAATCACAATACATGTGGAGATGTGCAGCGAAAAATTGATCTTTATATGACTACGTAAATACGTTCTGTTGTTCCTTCTATCAACCAATGGATTACTGGACCTTTTGAATCAAATTAGCGTCCTACCTGTATGCGTCGAAATCAATAATAACTTTAAAGTATTGATATTGATCTCGAGATATCGGTGAGAGAAATGATGTTGACAGAATAATTTGAACTACTTTTCTGTAAATTTATTCTCGTAAAAGGGCTTTCAAATGTCATGTTGAAAACAGGAAAAAGTTCTGTCTCTAAGTGTAGTACATATGTCATCTTCTTTTTTCATCTTTTTATATATGATCAGGCAAAAAAATGAGTTCAGAGGAGAAAATGTTACATTACAGAAATGATTAGGTAAATATTAAGGACAAGAAAATGATCAATTATTAGTGTTTATCGCATTGATGTTTTTTGTTCATGTAGGAGGAATTGCAATATTTTCTGCATTTTGCGCAGCGATTTGACTCTCTATGAATTCGGTAAATGCATTATATACTTCGACTTTGGATTTGCTTCGATCATAGGCAAATGAACCACTAGCCGGCTTGCCATTAAGTTTGATCAAACTGAAACTCGGATTATAATACGAAGCACCATAAGTACATTTCATATCATCTACAATAGGAGATTTAAATAAGTAAGAAACAGAATGTAGTCGATATAAACATGCACTCATACCTTTCTGTAAAGTGAGACCAATATTATTGCCACATCCCCAAAAATTGTCTTCTGATTGAACGTGTCGCCATCCATTCCATACTTCATCATTACTACCGCCAATGTTCCAATTCTGTTCAGCTGATCGTATAAATACTTGCATCTTTATTAATATAATAGTATTCTTGAAGAGAAACAAAGTTTTCTATAGAATGTCAATGTGGTTCATATTATCTACATATATAGTGTGTGATAATGAATCACTCGTGCAATCGATGTGTCGTTTTTTTCTCTAGACATTTCATCAGTAACGTGAAAGTAAAAAAGAATGAGTCATGACACGAGTAAGAAATATATACAGAAAGAAAATGATAAAAAAAATCACGTGATGAAAGATTCAAAATGTATATATGAGTAAGATGAAGAATAGAAAGAAAGAAAAGAAGAATAAAATTCAGCATGATTTTGACATCATAATATCAATCTAAAGTAAAAGATGAATGAAGAAAAAATGCATTATTAACAATGACGAAGAGAACAAATAATTTGTTTTATTTATAAAATTTCGATATATGTCAATTCAAACAAAAATTAATTTCTATTTTTACTCATCAAATAGAAATCTTTTACTGTAAAAGTTATTCATAAACATATTTACAGCAAGATACTGATCCAACCAGTGCGTGCTGATGTGTTAGCAAATTTAACGAGAACGATTATCGGATATTTTTCTTCTTTACTCCTTCTTTTTTCAACTTCTATTTGTTCTACTGTGTTATTCTCAATTAATTTTTCAGATTTGTGACCAAATGATTCAATAGACAGAGATACTAGAAAAAGTTCTATCTCGCTCATATCTTTTTCATACAATAGATCAACAGTAAGTGTTAGGATTGTATTTATGTAAATACTATTGGGATAAGGAAATTGTTGTTGAATACATTTTCAATGTTGTCCATTTCGGTAACATTGACAGATTCTGATTAGATGTCTTCGGAGAGTTTTCGTGGAAACTCAATTAAACATCGACGGAGGAGATATAGAGATGTAGGAGACATAGTAAACGGTTATTTATTTTTTATGATTGATTTTTTCAACAAAGGGTCGGTAAGTTGAATGCATATATTTGAATGGATCGCTATTAATAGTCAAGCACTATATAAAGACTATCTGCACTAGTTAATCAATATCTCCAATATCTCCTCCATCGATATTTAATTAAGTTTCCTCGGAAACTCCGAAGACATCATATGAAATTTTCACTGAAAAATGAACTGTAATACAAAGCATTACAACAAAAAATTTATAATAGCCCCGAAAATCCCATCTTTGTATCTTCATGTGGAGGATACCTGTGCGCATGCAGCACACTAACATTACTACCCGCTGACGTAAACAGGAAGAAAGACAAAAAAGAATTACGTGCCAGGCAGGGATCGAACCTGCGACTATTGTTCGACAAACAATTATGTTACCACTATACCACTGACACCTGACATGATTAGCAGTCAAGATTCTATGCAATTTCGTCAACTGAGTTTGGAGAATATTTCGGTGCTAATAGAATTTTGAAAAATCATAAATGTCTACAAGAAATTTGCCTATATTATTGAGTTTCCACAATTATCGAAACCCTTTCGAAATTAGTACAATGATAAATTTTGTTGAGTATAGTATTTTATTCTAAATATTCCACAAAAATGTTGACAATATTCACCATAGTTGGATCTCTACCCAATCCATTAACTTTTACTTAATATGGTATCGATTCATTATAAACTACCATTAGAAGAGTTGAGCCTCACATACCCATCTCTTTCTTTCCTTCTTGTCTTCTCATCTCTCTTTGTTATGGCGTTCAGGATGTGTGTATTCCATTGAATTGCAACTACGCTCCCAGGACTATATACTAGGGTGAAATCTTCGTTCAAAAATGCAATCTGGTATGAAATCTGAAAAAACGATATTGCTAATGGTTTCGAAAATCTTGTCTTTCTTCTTTCGTGTGCACGACACATGTGCCCAAGCAGCACGTCAACATTAGTAGTCATTCAGGTAAACAGAAAGAAAGAAAAAAAAGAGAGTTACATGCCAGTCAGGAATCGAATAAAATTATTCATATAGGGTGTGAGTGTCGATGTGTGTGTGGCTGTTATTCTTTTCTTCATCCATACTCGCACCCTTCTTGGCTATAAAACAAACCCACAGTACTCATTGAATCATTCTATGTGACTACACAACTACAACAATGCGGTATAAAAATATTTTTTGGTTGAGCTGCAAAGAAGACAGTCGAGTATCAATACGAACACTCACTATCAATTGAAAGCAACATATTCCGTATTATTGGTATAACATGAAAGAGTGCATATTTGTGCCCTAGTGAATGTACTGAGCTAAGGGTACCCGAAAAAGTACCCTGCTACTAGTATGTCACAGGAACTTTCGGGTACTGAAGTACCTTAAAGTACTTTTAGGTACCTATAAGGTACTCGACCAAGTACCCTGCTGGAAAGTATCCAGTAAATAGGTACTTGAAGGTACTGATCAAGTACCCAACTGGGTACTATTGTTCAGTAATTTTGGGTACCCTGTTGCCAAACTTGCAGTATGTTGATGATCGAAACTAACCTCTGGCTTTTTTTCATTTTTGTTTCTCTCAAAGCAATTTATGATATTTTCTCGATTTTATTTTATTTTATTTTGCTATTTCTGAAAAGCCAAGCAGGTCAAATTTCGAGATCTGACCGGACGCGAATTGGTCGGATCTCCATCAGACCACTTCAAGGTAGTCCTCTCTCAATCTATGATTGAGATTAGCATGTCTTCGACTAGTAAATAGTCAAGAAAAATAATCTAGAAAAAATTAGTACGAAAAAATATTTTTTTCTTATGCTTCCTCGAGTTGCTTATATGAAGCCGTATATGCAAAAGAAAACGGTGAATGAACAGTTGCTACACAGAACGCAACAAATCTAGGGTACCCTGTAGAGCTTTTCCTAGTAAAATTACAGGTGCGGGTACTCATGCAAGTACTTGTTCAGTAAACATACTGCAATGGGTACCCAATGCAGCACCTACGTCAGTATAATTACTGAAAATTTTCGAAGTACCCATATCGGGTACCCTGCTAAGGCTTTCTCAGTACATGGGTACCCTGAACTCAGTACTTTCTCTAGGGTGTCGTAAAACGACCTTTATAAGTTAATGTAGATTTGAGTACCTATAGTTTAACGTTATTTATAACTTTTCATTGAAAGATTAACCTTTTTTTTAAGTAAAGAACTAAATACATTGTTTCAACCGCCGCAATGCATATTAAATCATTCTAGGACACTATTTTTGAAAGCAGTTTGATTTATAAACGAGTCGAATAGCAGTGACAATTTTATTTCGACAATCACTATAACTCTAAACTGACTATACTATTATAGACCATCATAATAGTATTGTAACAGATGTGTGGCTTCAACAAGCTGAAATAGTATTACAAATTGTCTTAACTATTCAGTCGAGGATTAAGCGAGTCCCAGCGATGAGCATTACTTTTTCTAGCTAATCAATTTTTCTTAAAAAGAAATAAATATCTTTAGGAGAAAACAGACAATCTTCATGTTAAAACTCAATGTGCTTTTATCGCTGACATATAGACACTACCGTATATGTAAAACAGAATCATGAACGATACTTACTTTAAATACACATATTATTGTATAAGAATGAACTTCAAATATAAGTAACGCAGTGCTATTGAAACATAAGAATAAAAATAATAAAATAATTTATGAGGAGAAAAAATTTAGAAAATCAAGACAGACCGAACTTGAGCCTAGCTAATAGATAGTGGAAAAACAGAAGGAGAATGCATTTGTTAAATCAGTTGTGTCGTCGTGAAAAAAGTCAAGCTGTTCTCAATCATCGTCATTGTTATGTATTGGGTAAAATGTATTAATTATTGATTGTTGTTATTAGTCAAAGACAAATGAATTCCATCGCAATGTTTCGTTTATGAACAACTGTGTACATCAAAAAAGTGAATTTCTTTTACTATGCATAGAAATAGAAGTCGCGCATTAAATTGTGATCTTGTCGTACATTCTCTTTAAATAGGTCAGATCATGAAGAAAATAAATGGACCACAGTCAAATCTATTGAATTCAAAATAATACAGAAGAATTCACATTTATCATAACACATTAGAATTAACTCCTTTTTATCATGTAATACTGCTTGACAGTATATAGAATTTTTTTGTTTAACAAAATGAAAAACACATGTGTAGGCAAGCAGCTGTCGCAAACAATATTTAGAATTCTTTCTAGAAGAATATATCTGATATCGCAAACTGAATGTTCCAATACTCATCATTCGAGTAAAAAAATTCTCTACTGTGTATTCTGATACAGTTTTGCATGATGAATCCGAATATATAATTCAATTTTTCACCTAATGAAATATCGATGCATCATGATGTTTTTTTCAAATGAAACATGTTTCTTAGTTATTATATAGTGACATAGGGAAGCATCTAATATTTGATTTGTATCTCGATGAAAATAGAATTGAATATAAAAATTTTCACAGTAAAATAATTGGCACATCGAGCACTACACACATTCTGAAAGCTTTATTTTTGAAACATTCATTTTCTTTTCCTCTTCAAATGTTTTTCGATAACAGTCGATAAAAAAAATCAGTGCATCTTTTGATCTTTCAGTTGTTCTGATCGGACCACAATATTCATTAATTGAGATAATGCAGTATTTAATTGCTGTCTACTATACGATTAGAACAAAATAAGATTTGACTATAGGTACACAGCAGTTATTTTATATTGATAAGAATAACCATCGTTTTTCATTTTTTGTTCATAACAACAACGTGCTTTATGATGATATTTTGTTGTTCTTCTTGTCCTATTTTTATCATCGTACGTAACTGACGCACGTGTTCGTTTCACTCGTTTTGTTTATACCTTCAAATAGCCACCTTTTCATTCTTCCCACAGTCAGGTATTCATTTGTGTTTGTTACTCTTTATCGAATATACACGACATATATTATGGGGTGGTGGTTGAAATGGTTTGTGATAGGCAGTTTGGTGGCATGGTTTGGCTATTATCGTCATCAGATATCACAGGTCGGTTGTTTTTCAATTTTAATCTCAAGCTCTTATTTGACTGATGTGTATTAGAGATGGACTAGAATTTTTTCTCTACCCTAAGATAGACAAAAAGACAAATTTTTTTTCATGTTCTTAACCAATTGCAATCTAATTCAATGAAGAAAATTTTTGAGATTTTGTTGAATTCTATAATTAGTAACTTCAAAATATGAATGAATGTGAAAATAGCCTTAATAATGTTAATTTAGTACATTTCTCTCTGCTTTTCTCAAACGAGGTTTGGAATCTGACAAAACTTGATTTAGCTGAAGAACGCATTAAATCTGAAAGAATATTCATCCAGCTAATCAAGATAGAAAAAAAATTTTCTTATACTATGTCATTTATTTCTACAATATATTTAGCTTTCTCGAACCCACACGGCAGGCTTATCTCGTATTGCAACTTCTCTAGCGAATAATACTGATTCTTATCAATTTTTTAATCGATCAGAACAAATGAATAATTCATATTTTGAATGTGAAAATATCGTATATGCACATGGTATCTGTGGTAATCTTCAAGTGCCACCAATACAACGACCTTGTACACCACCTCTACATATACATCTCGAACAAACGGAATTTTTCACTCTTATACAAGGTCATCTAGCCTATCAATTAGGTGATAAAGTATATTCATGTGATATTCATACATGTCCACGACCTCTTATTGTTCCACCTCTTCTATCACATACATTTTGGATGCATGACAATAAAGAAGATCTCATTGTACGTGTTCATGCCGAACCAGCCGACAAATACAATGGTCTTTCACAAAGATTCTTTGAAAATTTCGCTGGCATTAATCGTGATCAACACATATCTATATGGCAAATATTTGTACTTTTTGAAAATGCACAAACCTATCCAGCATCTTTACCATTACCTTTCATGAAAATAATTGTTAAACTAGGTGCTCTCATTGGTCAATTACTGGGCTATAAAATAGAATATGAAGAATATACAACCGTTGAAGATAATTTTAATTAATCAACTGTATTTTTATTCGAAACTTCGTATTCACAAACATTTTCTTTTTATTTCATATTAATATTTTATCTAAAGGATAAAGTTCTACAAACATATATATTAGTGCACAAGTACAAAATAAGTCAGAAAATAAAACTATCAATGATAAATACGATCAAAAGTGAATGGAATGGATGTATTGAATATTATTATATTTCGAATGAGATTCATGAAATGAGCATACATCCAAATTCCAATTTCAGTGCAGAGTATCCATGATTTACATACTGATTTATTAGTGCAACCATAGTGTTGATGAAATTGAGAATCAACATCGCGTACTGTAAATGAGTATATGACCTTCAAGCTCATTAACAAAGAATATCTATTTTTTCTTGATCCTTTTAAAAATTTCTTTTTGTATTTTTCGATCGATATCCATGCTGTAAGTATTCGAACCACAGATTGTCCCTAGTATAAATATTGCCGATAGGGGTGAATATTAATCAGTAGTGATATTGATTAGTTTGACTACCGACACGGAATCCAGAATGAAAAAAGTTAAGTAACTATTATGAAGATTTTCAGCGCAATTCTCGAGAACAATATTCTGACAGTCTTATACAACAAGCCTTTCGATATCACTTTGTACTGCTTATTAATGCAGTTGGATGCATTTGAAATAATCTGAAAAAAGCCAGTGATTATCCTGTTCTTTCATTATATTTGTAAGTGTCACAGTTCCTTTGCAGACTCTCAGCTGACTCAGACGTGTAGCAGCAAGAAAATATCCGAGCACGTCTTAGAAAACTCATCTATCCATCGGAATGATCATAAAAGCAGATGTACTTCACAGATAAGACTTTACAGTACGAACAAAGACTAGAATAAGATTTTTAAAATAGGTTCGTCTTTCTTTACATTTATTTCATTGAATATTTCTACAGATCACACTTTTCCAACTGATGAAATTCGACTATTTTTTGTATTGATCATTGCTGATATCAAGTAGTGATGTTCTCATTTTTAATCTTCACTTAAAAGATAACTAACTACTATTCAAAAATTCAAACGAAATCGATTACGTTAATAAGACAATCATTTAATTTCAACCGCATATTATTATACAGGATAGATTTGTAATTTTTTAAACAAATCGTGCATATTAACAGCTCGTTTGATGTATCATTGTTGACATAAACATCGACATCAGGTGCCTAACTTAGACAGTTTTCTTAATACTTTTTGGTGCTGCATTTAGATAGATTGACAGTCGATAGTGCCCTAGCTATCGAACTTGACAAACAAGGTTTCAATGTCTTTACTGGTGTCTACAGCGCTGACAGTAAAGCTCTACTTACTAATCAACTTTCTTCAAGAGCAATTGTCTTTTTACTTGATATTACTCAACAACAAGACATCGATTCGGCTTATAAGATGATCAAACAAAAAGACGAATACTCTTCATGCTTTGGTCAACAATGCAGGTATTTCTACTGCTGATCACATTGAAAGGATCACCTTAAAATCAATGCATCAGGTGATGAATATCAATTTTTTCGGACACGTAGCCATGACTAAAACATTTCTACCTCTGTTAATTAGTAAACGAGACTCGCGCGTGGTGAATATTTGTTCGGTGGCTGGCTTCATATCTCCACCATCTGATTCAGCCTATTGTGCTTCTAAATACACTCTGGAATTGTTCTCCGATTGCCCTCGTCGTGAAATGCTTGCCTGGGACTTGCATGTAAGCATTATCGAACCAGACATCATGAAAACGCCAATTGTTCAAAAGCATACTCAAGTCGCACGTGAGGTAGGAATGGAATTATCAACTGCTGTTCGAGAACGATGGGGCGAGGAATTTATGAAGTATCATTTTGAAAGTTTGAAAACCAATATTTTGGTTCGATTAGCCGAAAATCCAATCAAAATAGTACGTGCAGTTCAACATGCAGTAACAAGCAAGTCACCATGTATCCGTTATCGACCTGGTTGGCAATCAAAATTCGTTTACTTTCGTTTATCAATAGTACCTGCCTGTTTAACCGATTTTTATTATGCAAAAACACGCTCCTTACCTGTTCTACCGGCAGGCGTTACTAAGCAACTCAAGCCATAAATTCAATTTGAACTCAATTATTAGTAAATGTTAGTCCTTTCAAGATATGTTCGTAACTAAATATTGAATTCAATATATTACAACTATCTTCATTTATTATTGATATAGATGTGTACTCACATAAAATCTGTTCTCTCATTTGCGAACATAAAATCGAAACTAAAAATCTATTAAATTCAATTTTAGTAGCTTTTTTTCGATTTAATTTATTCGTATTTAAAATAATCTTAAGTCTGAGATTTTCGATTTTCAAATTTCAAAAAAATGTTTACTGATATGAATTTTAAAACATATTAAATTTCAGTTATATTTTTTAAACTTGTTGCAATTTATAGAGTTCGCGAAAGCCTGAGTTTTATTATTTGAATATAACGATCTGGAGTGTATGGGTTAGAGAATAGATAAGACCTACACTCTTATACCCACACCCTAGTTCAACTAAAATCTAATGTCCTCTACAAATTGCAGAATGCTTAGTAAAAAAAAAGAAGTTTTTATAAATATCTTTTCAAAACAATTCACTTTCAATATTTGTTCCCAGTAATCGAGTTTTCGAAAGTTGAGTATAAATTTTAATCTAATTAAAATTTATTTTCTTCATGTTCACAGATGAGAGTTAGCCTTATGCACATACTTATCAACTGTAAGAAAAATTTCATTATCCATCAGGCAATCATCGCATTTTTTCTATGAAAAAGTAAGTCTAATTAGAGTTTCTCTAAGATTTATTATTATGAACAGAAATAAACTTCTTGACATATGAATATTATGTATTACATTCATTCAACGACATAAATATTTTATGTGTCCATCCTTCAAATCTTGAAAGTTTTCATCGGAATCGTTCTAATAGTTGAGACGAATGGTGTAATTTAATTGTTAGGATGAGATCGAAATAGCTTCTTTATAGTATTGATTAGTTCTTTTCTGTATATGCTACCCGATAGAAAGTACAAGATGACGGATGTGGCATATGATAAACTATAGATAAGCTTAGTTAGTTGAAAAGAAAAGTAATACTCGAGAGAACTTAAGTATTGAACAGACAAAAAGCCCAATATATAAACTGTAGCTAATGGTGTAGAAAGTAAAATATGGAAAACCACTTGGGCTAAAAGCATACGAACAAGTTGATGTTCAGTACGACGAGATCGTGAACATGTAATAGGAAGAACACGAAATGTCTTTGTATTGTATATAGTCAGGATACCGAAAGTTAGCATTAGAAATGGAGGGATAAAACTTAACAGAACTGCTTGAATAATCGGATATATACGACTATAAACTGTTGTTGGTAAAATACGGCATGGAATCGTTTGACCTGGTTGTATATCGAGCAGTACAAGAGAACTAATGAAGAAAAGAGCGACAAAAATGAAGACAAATAAAATCGACCATCGAGCAACAGACAAATTGCTAAGATTTCGTCGTTGAGGATTTGATGAACTAACACAATATCGATCGATCAAAGCTAGTACAATTAAATACGGTGACACTACGAGAGATACTTGTTGAATATAGAGAATAACTTTACACCATAACTGAGAATTGCTAGTTGGATCGATTTGATAGCCAAGGGATAAAAGATTAAATGTGAGAAGAAACATTGAGAAGAACAAATTGTTGCTAGCAAGTGCGAGAAAATAACGAGAACATGGATGATTGTACAATATAGACGTTCTAAGCACAATTATATTGAGCAAATTTCCGATGATTCCGATCACCATACTTGGAGGTAAGATTATTCGTGTGAGTAGAGCAATGAGTTGAACATATGAATTCATCATCAGATTTTTTTGTCTATTGAGTTGATCTGAAGAATATGAAACGTTTCTTACTTTAAAATATTTCTTAGTTTCATACGTTGTTTATTATCGAGTCCGATAATAAAACCAACTTACAGATTTTTTTTGCTTAGAAGAAAAAGTTATTTTCATTCAGTCATTGAAAACGATAGGCTCACATGATCTTCACAAAAATCTTACAATTTCTGTCTCATATAGTAATAAGAAAATAAAGAGCATAAACGATTATTATTTCATATATCTAATGTTTAATGTCATGTAGCTTGGCAATTATGATTTTTTCGTGTTTTTTAAATTGACAGTCATTTAGAGTTTTAGTTTATCGATACTTACGTTAGTGCTAATGGAATATGATTGAGAATAAAATAAACTGTGCCCTGAAGCGTCGAAACATGTATGGCACTATGACATCTTAAATATTATTTCTTTAAATTCTTTTCTTCTTACTTTATATAATAGGGATACTTAAATCTTCAAGAATAGAACCTCGTATAAAACTAAAAACAAAACATTCTTCTAGTTCCGATGAAACCATATCCTACTGTGCAATTGTTGTTTATATTAGAGTATGTTTTACCATGTATTTTTTAATAGAACAGTCCTTGAATATTCAAAACCAGATTTAATTATTGATGATTCCAAAAGTCTTCTTCTAAGTTTCGCTGACTAAATATTTTTCGGTATTAACATCCTGTTTTCTTTCGAAACTTGAAGGCTGATAGAGCAAAGATTTCTCTGTATAGCACACGGTTAAATACTACTCTCATATAAAGAAACAATTATATAATGCTACATGTTTTTTTTTTACTGAACTCAAACAACTATTCTCTTTGTCCCTGAAGGGTTCTATTCAAGCAAGTCATAAATAGTTTATTATTATTAATTTCTTTTTACTTTCTGAAGGAGAATTACTTCTTAAGAAAAGTTCTCATTTGAAAAACAAGCATATTCATATGTAAAACACCTAAAGGATATTCGATATTACCTTAGAATAAATCTTCAAACATATTTCTCATATTTTTTTTTCTTGATTTATAAGATAGATTTTTATCTCATGTATAGTGCTGATCAATGGAATTTTCTGCCTTTGTATTTTATGTTTTTTATTATCACAGTTCTTTTATTTATTAATCTACTGTATATAGAAAGGAAACTCGAAACGCGTTGCATTTGTTGGTGTATTTATGTTGAAAATTAAATGCAATTGAAAATGTAGAGACTATATTAGGAAAAAAAATGACATTTTTCTTTCTGTAGGATGTTCATAATGTTTTGACATTTTTCTTTCTGTAGGGTGTTCATAATGTTTTGACATTTTTTTTTTATTTCGCATATATCTCGGCTTGAGAGAACGATGAGTTATTAAATTTCTTTTTAAAAGATGAACTGTTGTAAAAGTTCTACAAAAGTTGTATATTTCAAGTCTTACAGCGAATTAGAAAAGTGTTTGAAACATTTCCAGTAGGATAGGTAATGACATTGTTATACAAGTTGTTTATTTTGAGTATAAGAAGAAGATATTAGAGCAAATAAAAAGAATTTTTTTGGATGAAAATTCAAGAGTATATTATTTACCTGCGTCATGATATATACGAATTAAAAAATGTCATAGCATTCTGAACATCCTGTAGAAAAAAAAATGTCATTTTCTTCTAATATACTCTTTACACTTCTAACTGCATTTGATATTTAACATAAATACACCAAAAGATGAAGCGTGTGCAAGGCTTTCTTTTCTACAAATACTACGTTAATCAACAAAAGAACGGTAGTAATAAGAAACAAAAATAAAACAACGAGGGACAATTTAATTAGCCCGCATTGTAGATTTAATGATAAGTTTTATCTTAAATGTTCATCAGCTAAATTTACTGACATATGAACGACTGAGAATGTTTTGGGGGTGTACTGACGTAAAAAGAAACTTTTGGGAACAATGTTTCATCTGTCATTATCATTAGAAAAAGAAAAATATGGAAAGATAACGGATAAAATATTATATTAATTACAATTGCTCATATAAATACATGGAGAACATGTTCACATACATTGAGTTTTATTGAAATTTACATTTTTGAAAAACTTTGTTTTATAAAGTATTTTTGTTTTTCATCACATGTTTATAAATATCACTGGTCAAGAAATAGAGATGTCCGAAAAATCCAGTACGACAATTCATGTATTTCAATTTTATCCTTTCATTTGAACTATAGTTTCAGCTAGAGAAATGAAACTTGTAATATTATACATCTTGGATAGACATTTAGGTAATAAAAACTTCAGACTCCTTTGTCGAGTAAAAGGATGAAAGATATGACAAAGTCATTAATAATCTTGTGTTCGCTAAATTTCACACTCACACGCACACTCTCATATTGACATTACATGCTGATTCGTCTAATATCATTTATAACGAAGGATTATTTCTATCATATGTTGAATTACTGTGCTTGCAACATGCTATATGTTGTATATATTCCAGCATGGATGAATGATAAAAAACTTGATTTTTTTTCAAAATTTTTACAAAAAATGCACGAACAAACCTCAAATTACGTATTTTGATGATTTTTTCTATAGTCAACATGAAGCTCCTAAATATTATTACTGGTTACCATCGTATTTATAGTAATAACAATTTTCAGAAGACCTCTTTCATTTTGCATACATCTCATCTTCAGAAGACAATAAAATTCTAATGTTTTCTTTTTCAACAGATGCGTCATCGAAAGCTCTACAAAAGCTGTATGAAGAAACCTCTATCACCTTACTCGGATGATTTTTTCTAGATAGTCAAAAGTGAAGATCTAGGTTATGTTATTATTGTAGGTTCAAAAATGTTTGCAAATATCTGTGCAAAGACAAATGATAAAGTTTTGATTTTTTCTTCAGAAGATACAACATAAAAAGCTATACAAAACTTGTAAGAACGAATACTTATCGACTTATTCTGGCAATTTGTTTCCTACTCGAGACAGAAAATAACACACGATGCTGTTACTTTCCACCATATTTATAATAATAAAAACGTTCGAAAGTCTTCTTTTTTATTTTGAATATATCTCGGCTTCAGAAAATGATAGCATCTTGATATTTTTTCGAATTATATCACCGTAGAAAGCTTTACAAAAGCTGTATGAGCAAATTCCAAGTGCAAAACAAAACAGCTCTTGTAAACATTTTTATTAATATAAATACGATGGAAATAGCAATGATATCTAAGTGTATAATTTTGACTCTAGGTAAAATTATCACAACATATAAGTAGAGATTTGTTACAGCATTCATTTATTTTCAATCAGCAGCAATAAAAGACACAGAGTCACAAGAAAAATTTATCTGTCACCTTGTTTTGTCGTAGTGTATCGACAAGCTGTTCTCGAACTCCTTTATGTCCGAGTCCATTGTTTGAAAGATTGAGTCTGGTTAATGCCTTTGAGAAAGATCGATGAAATTTTTTTTAGTAGTATAAGACTGTGGGTGTTGTTCTCCTCTTCAATCCACATCCTCAATATAGATTTTCTTTTTTTAAAACAAAACAATTTTTCCTTCTTTTATTCTATTTTGATTTAATACTTTATCTTTTTGTCGTTCAAATAACTAAATTATAACTTATTCTTGCATGAGGAAAATATTGTTGTAAAGAATCTGAATATAATGGTTCACCACTTAATTCTAATTTATTTATTTTGACACAATTAATTCTTGTAGCATCTCTTGTAAAATTTTGTGTTACTCGTTGTAAAGATTCACATTTAATACGAAGAAAAATATTTTGAAAATGTATTTTAGTATCAAAAAGAAATTCTTCTATATAATCATCATGAACATTGACGAGATCAAGCTCATTAAGAAAAGAATATTCAACAATAGATGAATAACAATTAACATTGTTTTATTCATAAGATTGTTTTCGATCTTGTGATTTATTATTAGTCACCGTTAATTCTTCTATAAATGGAAATGATTGAATAATATTAAGAAAAAAAATCATGTTGAAAAGGATATTCATCACGTAATAACACTATACGAACATAATTTTATAATCCACCTGGAAAATTATTTGTAATATGGCATAAAAGATGGATATGAATAAATGTGTCATTGATCAAGTTGTATCTCTGAGAAATAATCGACATAAGAAATAATTTCATTATATTGAAAGTCAATGAATGTACGTTGAATATCTTCAGTTAACGGCAAATTTAATTTATTACCAATATACATGGATGAGCGAATATAAAATGAAAATTAATTTAATCTTGGTATATAATAGATAATGTTTTTCTTCAAATTATTTCCATCAATAAATGTCTCCCTAACAGAGATCACAAGATACAAACCGAGTTCTTCTAAATTTGACATTCGATAGAGAAGTGATAAGATTAATTCATCGTAATAAAATGTTTCGTAATTACAAGATAAATGAAAACACTTTAGATTTGGTACATCACCCTAAAAAAAACAAATTCTCTTTTGTTATTTGATAATATATAGAGATTTTTCTTGTAAAACTCACTTTATTTTGATTATTATATGAACGTTCAATATGAATCAAATCAACATAGAGTGTGCGAAGTTGATTAAAATGACCATCAAGAAAATAAAGACAATCATCAAAAGAATATATTCTGATATTCAATTTTAAAAAAGTTGAAGAACGAAATGTATGAGAAGGTGGATCAGCAAAAAATAATGGAATACGATTTTTATACGATGATTTATAAAATGTCAAATGAATTAGATTGATGAAAACAGTGAAAATGTAATCAGTTGTGTGTCCTGTTGACAATGCCATTTCATCATAATCATCCTGAAAATTATTTTCAATTAGTAATAAAAAATGTTGTAATTTGATGTTTGAAAATATCAGATGAAAGAATTTCATCTAAACATATATACATACAATATTAGTATGAATATAAAAATTAGAAAAAAAAACAATATCATTATATTCATATGATACAGTTATCTATAGAAATAAGTTTGATAAATCTTTGATTTATTTAGAATAAAAATAATTCATTTTAAATTTCTTACCAGTAAAAAGACATCGAGCTGATTCTTCATTGATATTATAAAGATCGAGAGTATGTAAGTTACGATAATGAGCAGCATATAAAATATATTTCATCAATGATGATTCATGATCAAGCCATTTGATTTTAT